GATTGAGATTGTGACTTGCCCAACTTCGTGTGATGAATACACAGTGACCACACCAGAATCAAACCCACGTCTCCCTGACTTCAAAGCCCATGCTATTTCTTCTAGACTTTGCTACAGTCTCATCAGAAGCTGGTGGGGAGAATTCTCAGAAGGCCTAGATCAGTCCGAGATAGGAAAAGAATCTTTTCACATCAGAGTAGGTGGGAGAAGAACGTCCCATGCTGTAACACAAATGCACACAATCCTACCAATCCCAAGCCCAAACCTGGGTAGCCCCCAAGTGCAGAACTTCATTTTTGAGAGCCCCATAGAGGCCCCCTCTCCAGTGCCTGGGTTCCCTAAGGCTAGAAAGTCAGGACTTTCACTTTGAAAGTCAGGACTTTCACTTTACCAACCAAATCAGTGAGTATCAGTGAGCACATAACACAAAGTTACACATTTCTGAGCCCTCACTTGGCTTAGACAGAGACACGCACCTCAGGGCCTGTCTATATCTGTATCTATATCCATAGTCAGCTATTTTCATTTGCACTGGTTTGTATTTCTTGCTAAGTGTCACGTCTCTCCAGATTACTGACCATGAGATCTTCTGCAAGCAAAAACGGTATCTTCCCACTGTTTTCTTCCTTTCTGTATCTCCCACTGATGTCACGTATATATGCGTGCTCTGTTCTGTCCTTGTCATTGACCTGTAAGCCCACTCACTTCAGTAGGTCTTTTTGAATAAAATGCTGCTGGCTTTGGTGGGAACAGGGTAAACTTAGCCACCTATTCTGAGGTAGGAGGCCTGGCTACGTAAATGGCATTTCCACAGTCGACAGCATGTTTTTCCCAAAGAATACAGAGTAATTATTTCTCACTCATCTCCACTGAACCCTACTGAGACAGGTGGTGAAGAGTGAACCTGACCTTTCCAGGAAACTTAAATAATAATTTACTTAGAGTCACAAAGAGCTGAGACACAGCTCCAGGTCTTCTGAACTTAGAACCAATGCTCTGCAGCAAATCAGCCATTTTTCTTCAACCTCAACTATTACATTTTGGAATTGTTGTGTAGATGGGTTTTAAAACATTGTCAACCCTCCCCAACTCCAAAGAACAAAATCCAATATAACAGAAGGGGAAAACAATCTCAACGAAAGCACAGCAAAGATGACTATTTGTGACTGGCGTGTCTTTGCCAGCCCCTGTAGAGAAGAGTGCCCATGTCTCATCCCAATCTCAGAATCCGTCCACCAAGTCAGTTAGAGTGAGGAGATCCAAAAGGTCAGAGAAATGCATGAATGGAACTGAAAAACACAGCAATCAGTATGCCCCTCTCCCTCCCCCTCCCGCAACTGTTTTAAACAGCTGAAATCTGATAAAATTATCAGTGAGTAGCTTTGAAGGAGAAAAGCAGTCATAAAAGCATAGGTAATCCTGGGAGAAAGGAGTGGCAAGGGGGAGAGGAGTTAGGGTTGGGCTGTACATACGTTTCTGAACTCGGAGCATGTTTTAGCATCAACAAGGTGAGCTATGCTCCATCTTGCCCTAATAGCCAGTCATTGCAACTAATACTGCTAGAGCACCTACTGTGTATCTGGCAACACACTAAGCACATACCCCTTCACAGCCTTACTGCAAAAGAAAAAGGACAAAAGACCAGAATGGGGCGATGCAAAAGTGAAAAACAGGGAAAGAGTCTCTAAGAACAGGAAAAGAAGGGAGAAATATGAGAAGGACGTCAGAGGGAATACACAATCGAGGCACAAGGCTTTCTGGGAAAGGCTTGCAGGGTGAATTTCAGGATCGCGGCCCAGCCCCCATCGTCATTCCAGACCTGCCAGACTAACCAACCAGTCCAAAGTGACTCCTAGATAACAATGCAGCCCAGACCAGCAGATAACAATGCACCAGTCTAAGCCTTCTGAGAATCGCGGGTTGTCAGAGGAGCCTCAGAAATCATCTTATCTATAACCCCTTCATCTTACAATGAAGCCGAGACTCAAAGAGAAGTGACTGGCCCAAGGCCACAATTAGAGGTACAGCCAGGACTAGACCCAGGTATCCTGGCTTCTGTTCCAGAGTATTTCCACAGCCTTCTCCCCTGGGCCGCCCTCACGAGGAATGGGCTTGTTGGAGAGCCCAGCTACTCCCACAAGGTCAGGGAAATAGAAGGTCGAAGGTTAGCTGAGGGAAGGGGTCACTGTCGCTATAGTCTGGGAAAGAGGGAAAGGGAGACTCAGGAAGGGAGACTCAAGCTTAAGAAAATGGAAGAATATCAGTGCAAAGAAGCAAAAGGACTACCATATACAAAAAGTTCCTAATAATAAGGGAGGTAGAGGCCAGAAAGAACTGCCAAAAGATGGTGTGACCTGAACAGGAACATTTCCATGCTCTCTCAGGCCTAGGGGGAGAAACTTGGAGCAACATCTATGACCTGCAAATAACATGTCTACCTGTTCCAACAGACTGCTGGATGGAAGGCGGGTGGAACCCCTGGGGAACCTCCTATCCGCCAGCAGCACCAGAAACACCTTTCAGAACCCAGCCAAGAGTCCCAAGGACATAGCCAAAGGCTGAGGTCCAATCAAGATTCTGAACCCCCACCTATAGGACATCCCACTGGATCATTGCTATGGCAACAAAATGGTAGAACCTGCCCCTCAAGAGTCTATCCCAGGAGTCCATCTGCCAGCCACTCCCCCTCCAGTTGCCAAAGCAACTCCTACCCTCCTCCAGCACTCTCAGGGAAGGGAGCTTGAGAGTACCTACCCCCGTGGAAATAAGCCCATGCACAAAGGGAAATCTTTGAGCCCAAAACAGAAATGAAGATATAACACCCCCTCCACAGAAACCGCAGCTAGAGGGGCAGCAGGGTGCTCTAGGGATTTGAGGGAGGAGGTCACAACTTGCCTGGAGTGCCTATACGATCTTCCAATTCTCTCCTCCTCTTCCACCCTCCCAGAAGCCCTTTCTCCCTAACTCTCCCTTCAATGTTCCCATCTTCCTCCTCAGTAGTTTTAGGGAGACCACACTCTTCGGCCCCAGTGTGCCCCTCTCCAAGAAGTAACTATGGCTGGGATTGAAAAAACAAGGTCAGAGGTGGCCTGAAGTAGGCGAAAGACAATCCAGTCACAAAGGCAGCCACTTCCCACTTCCACCCTGTAACACCTCTGGTTCTTCTTCTCAAAGGTGGATCTCTCCTTGGCCTTTTAGAGCCTCCCTTTCCCCAGGTTCCATTCTCACTCATCAGCCTACAATCCCTCTCCTTCCACCTACCACACCCCTTCCCCATTTCCCACTTCCCTTCGAAACCTCGCACCCCCGACCCCGAGTTCTGAAACCCGGGCTCTGGGCCTTTTCCTGGAGCCCTAATGCCCCACCTCGCTGCCATATCTCCATTCCTTTTTTGCCTTCGCCCGAAGCCCCCTCGCGAGCAGCCCCCCTTTTCTTCTGCCAGCCCTCCACCTCGGGGCTCCGCTTTTGGTCCCGGGGTCCTGGCTACCCTCTTGCCCCATCAGCCCTCCTTCTGAGACCCTCCCACCTCCCTCCACCTTCCCGATCCTCCGGGTGCCCTGGCCCCCATCCCTCCTCCGGGGCCGGCCCCACCCCCGGAACCCCCCACCCCCAGCCTCAGGCCGGGGCAGAGCCCGCAGTGGGGGTACCGGATCGGGAAAATAACAAATGGAGGCGGCGGCGGCGGGAGGGGGAACTGGGAGGGGTGGGGGTGGGGAGCCGCGGGGCCAGAACCCGGGCGGGCCCGAGGCCCCGGGCGGCAGCAGATCTTACCTGGTCCTAGCTCGGGACGGCTGGCTGGCTCCGAGCGGGATTCGGGGCTCCGGAGCCTCCGGGGGGCGGCGGCGGCCGCTCCCCCGCCCCCCTCTCCTCTTCCCGGCTTCAGTCGCCGCCGCGACGGCGGCGGCGGCGGCCCCGACCCCCCCGGAGGGCGGCCCCCATCCCCCCTCTTTTCCCCCCAACCTGGCCCCGATCGCCCGCCTGCCCCCGGAGCAGATCCCGATCCCCGCTCGCGTTCAGCCCCTCCCCAGGCCCGCCACCTCCCCCCGGCCGCCGGGAATGCCCGGGCCGCGCCGCCCGCCCCCGCCGCGCCGCTCGCCCCCGCGGCCCGGCCGGCCCTCCGCGCGGCTCTGACCCGCCGGCTCCCGCCCGCCGCCCGCCGCCCGCGCCCGCCCCGCGCAGCCCGCACTCGCGCGATCCCCGGCCCCCTAGGCGGCCTCCGCCCGCGGCCCCCGCCCCTTCCCGGGCGGTCGTCCCCCCTCGCCCCCTCCTAGCCCTCTTGGAGGCCAGCGGTTCCCCCCTAAATGGGTCCCGGCCCGAGGCCCCGGCCCGACGCCGGGCTGCGGGCGGGCTGGGCGGCGCGTCCGGCGACTCGCACAGGAAAGCGGACGGCGAAGGGAGGGAGCTTGGGAGAGGGGGATGGGAGAAGGGAGGAAGAGGGAGAAGGAGGGAGCGCGGAGGAACGGAGGAGAGAGGGGCCAGGAGGGAGACGCGAGGGAGGGAGCGCGAGGCAAGCTGCGAGGGGGGAGAGAGGGGGATCCGGAGAGGGGGAGGCGCTGTGCGAGTTGGCCGAGGCCGGCCGAGGGGGCTGGGGCGCGGGGAGGGGTTCGCCGAGGCGGAATGTGGGGAACCGGAGAGGGCTAGGTAGGAGGGGCTGCCGGTTGTAAGGGCAGAGAAGGGGGAGACTGGAGAAGTTTGGGGGCAGGGGGGTCTGAGGCAGAGAGGAAGTGGGAGTTTGTGAGTGTGTGGCAGAGACTGGTCTAATGGGGGTACATTGCGAAAATGGAGCTACGTGGGGGCTTTGGGGGCAGTGAGGTATGTGACAGGGAGGGGTGACTAAAGCTTAGGGTGACAGCGTCTGTGGCAGACACGTAGCGGGAGAGGTGGGGGCGATGATGAGGGAGAATGGGATGGAAGCGTGGGGTCATGGGGAGGGGAAGAAACTGAAAAGATGTAGACATATATATGTGGATGGGGTTTCTGGATGAGAGTAGTTTGGAGGTGATTGGTGTTGGGAAAAGAATAGGGAACATAAGAATTGGGGGGGGGGGATGATGGAAACCTGGAGAGAGTCCAGAGATGTCAGCATGGAGAAAAGGGGAAAGGTGAGGAACCTTAAAAAGGGATTAAGGAGGTGGGGCCAGAGGCATATTCTAGGAGACCTGGGGTGCTGGGTGGGAAAGGAGTGAGGAGACACTGGATGGCTGGATTCTGGAGGTGGGGGGCTTCCAAGAGAACTGAGGAGGGTTTAGACAAAGGTGGATAGAATGGGGTGGGGGCGGCAGGCGAAGTGGGTAAATAAGATTGGAAGGAAATGTAAGATAAACAAGGCCTTTGGTGGCAGTATGGAGGAGGGACGTCAGAGATGGGAAAGACAAGAGTGGAGATGGGAAGGGAAAGCAGTAGAAGGAAATGATGGAAGTGGGAGAGGGCAAACCCCCGTGTAGGGAAGGGATTAATTTATAGGAGTGGGACACCATCTTCAGGCCCTTCTGTCTGGTGGTGTCTCCATTTTCCTTCTCAAACCTGTTTGAAGTCATCACAGACAGTACTCTGGGCCACAGGGAAGGGGTCCGGTGGGGATTAGGCTCAAGGTAGAGCCAAATCCCTAGGTGCCCTAGTTCCCCAATCCCAATCCTTCTACTATGGAGTCAATCCCCACCCTACCCCCAGACCACAGGTTCTTCCTTCAACCCTCCCCGCTCTCCAGGAAGCCAGATTGTCAGCCAGCCAGCCATTTCCAGTCTTCAGCCTGAAGCCAGCACCCCCACCAGTCCACCACCATTGTCTTCTTCTGGGCTGTCTCCCTGGCCCCACACCAAGCAGCAACATCTCCCAGGACAAAGGACACCAAGACACTGGGTGATTTTTGGCAGCTGAGATTGGGAAGGCCAGAGAATGGGAGGGAGGCAGGCTGGGAAACTGGAAGAGCTGGAGCTGGAGCCTGGATTGGGAGCCCTTACTTAGCTCTCCAGATTGAGGGTGGGAGTAGGGCATGTTGGGGCCAAGCCAGCTAGAGGCCAAGGATGGTCCCTGAATGGCAGGATCCCACCCAGGCTTCTGGGAAAGAAGGAGGTTGGATTTGTGGCAACTAAGTGGGTTTTGCTTCATTATTTTCTTGGGCCAGGCTCAACCAAGTTCTGGGACTACCCAAAAGCTCTAACAGATTCTAAAGCACTGGAGAACCTGAGCAAGAAGGCTTCCTTGGCCTAGCAATGAATCACCACTCTTTGTAGCCTCTGAATTGGTTGGCCACACACTTTTCTACCCCATGCCCACCTTTTTTATCCCTAGGGGCCCTCCAGAGACCTGGCCAGCTCCCTGTCCCCCTCTCCCTGGTGATCCCTGCCCTCCCTTCCTCAGTGCCCTAGAATGGCCCCTGCTCCTCCTCCCCACCCCCCCACTCCCCCAGCCCTGCAACTTTGTTCCAAGACTCCTCCTCCTCACTCCCCATTGCATTTCCTCTCCTTCTGCACTTCTCAGTTTAGTCTCCCACTGGGGCCCCGGGCCCAGGCCCTTCCCAGCTCCCTTCTAGGCTGAGCTGCTCTCTCTGTTTTTTAACCACTGAGGGATGGGCTAGGATGGTGACATGCCTGAACCTAAAAGAAAAATTTAACCATAGGTAGGAACAGAAGATAAGGAGAGTCAGAGAAGCCAGGGCCTACCCCCTCCAGTTCCTCCCCGACCTGAGGACCAGGCTCACCATTCGGCTTTGGGGTGCATCACACACACACACCCCACCATCCCACACCCCAGCTCCCTTTATGGCCCAGCCCCCCGCAACCCACTGGTCTCCAGGCAACGGCACAAAGAGAAAGTGGAGAGAGGGGCCTGGGAGGCCCAGACAGAGCTAGCTGTAACCCAATCCCCCCCAGTACCTGGGGGGCAGGGGGGTGCGGGTGGGCATGGCTGCCAGAGAAGGCCACCGAGCAAGGAGGGAGGAAAGGGCAGAGGGTAGGAAATGTGGCTCCAACCAAAACAGTCTTGGTCAGTCCAGGAGTTGGGAGAAGAAAGATGGCTATCGTGGACCCCAGGGAAAAGTACAGTGTGCCCCAAGGGGAATGGAAAGGGGTGCCAGGAGACAGGAGACAAGGAAGGGAAAGATGAGATGCCCACACTGAAATTAAGAGGCATAGAGGAGCGGGGGCAAGCAGCTCTTTGAACTGAAAATGGCTGAAGTGTCAGTGACACAGGAAGAGCAGAGAAAGGAGTCCTGCCCATACAGGATGCAAATCCTCTTCTAGTCCTGGAGCTGGGCACGGTGGCAGAGAGCCCAGGACCAGAACTCAGAGTAGAAACGGTTGAGGAGGCCCACAGAGGGGACAACCTTGAAATTCCTCCCATCCTGCCCCTAGCTCGGGGTGAGTCTGGTGTCCCGCGGAACCTTGCTTCCCTCTAGTGGCCACAGCTCCCCATGTGTAGCCCCTACCTGCTGGGCTCTGCTCTGTATCCCAGCCCTATGAGAGAGGGTCCCCCCCCCCCGTGGGGGCTGGTTCTTGGGCCCCCACGTCAAAGTCAGTCGGGGCTCCACTGGAGCTGAAGAGTGATGGTGGGTCTCCAGCCCCACACGGGGGCCCTACTTGCAGGCCAACCCAGCACTTGTGGTTCCGACTCTCCAGTTTTCCTGGAAGACTCTGTTTCCTCAGACCCTAATCTATGTGCCCTGGTTCCACGCTTTGCTCCCTGGTTCCCCATCTCGCAGGAGGGGATGCCCACGCAGTGCTGCTACAGCCCAGAACGGCCAAGACAGTGTTGGGGAGAGGCCTAGATGGGGGCTGCTCCAGTTCACAGCTTTATCCCCTCTTTGCTCGAGGCCCTACGGGAATCTGAGAACGCTTTGAACCCCTCTTCCTAAAAATGCACACACACAAAATCTTTGACTCTTCTAGGAATTCTCAGACTCCAGGCTGAGGTCCCGGGGCCAGGCTTGCTGCTGAGAAGGCAGGGGCAACAGGGTCCCCCACCTGGCCAGGGAGGGGTAGGCAATGCCATCGTCTTAGCCATACTTGCTCAGCTTCTTCCTCTTTTTGTGTTCTCCCCAGCTCTGCTGTCCAGGTTCACCAACTTCCTGGTGCTCCATCTTCTCTCCCCTCACACGGACTACAGTAAGACTCTTCAGACACAACAACGCACTGTGATTCAGACTTTAATGGTGGTGCTCATTTCCACGCCACAGAGGGGGTGGCAACTGTGGAACCCGGCACAGGGGAGTGAGCCATTGCTCTGGTGCAGCTGGAGGAGGAACAGGGGAGCCGGGGGCTGAGGAGAGAGTTAGGGGGAAGCGTCCCCAGGGAACACAGCCCCGCCTCTGGACCGAGCGGCTTCGGTTAAGGGCTGGTAGACGCAAGGGGGCCGATGGGCAAGGCCCTTTTCTGTCACCCTTCCCGTTCCAGCAAGAGCTCCCAGCCCCAGGCCATCTCCGATCTCCGGCCACGTCACACACACACACACACACACACACACACACACACACACTCACTCACTCACTTCCGGTCAGGCCAGGTTTACACTCCGGAGTTATGGAGATATGATGAATTAATTAAGAGGAATGAACAATAAATAACTGAATAAATAACCCACTAAAGGCCCAGGCCTGGCACGCGCACGCAGCCGGCACGCCCTCCACCTCGGGGCGCCGCTCATGGGCAACACGGAAAACAGGAAAACAGACGCACGGCCCCCCGGACACGCCTCGCCAACCAACCCTGATGCACCTGTCCCAGACCCTGACTGTTCTTCCATGGACTCCCTTGTAATCCTCAGTCCCATGGCCGGTGTTTGAGGAGACAGAATAGAAAGGACAGAGAAGTGGAGAGTGTGGAACCCAGAGAGGGGAGAGCACACAGCAGGGGCTGGACAAGCCAAGGAACAGCGCAGCAGGTCAGCTGGGGGGGGGGCAGGGGGGCAGGGGGGCGGCTGGCAGGGTGAGATGTCACAGAGCAGGACAGGAAGAAAGAGGTTCCAGGAGGATGGGAGAGGGGTTCCAAGTCTCCGGGTAAGGAGAGGGATCACAGCACGCTGGGATTGCGGAAATTATGTCCGGCGAAGCGGGCTTCGTCCCCCAGCTCTTCTTCAATTCTGAGAAAGAGGAGCCAGAGAGGAAAGAGTCAGGGAAGCGGGGAGGATCCTGCTTCTCTTTCCGGGAGGCCCCTATCCTCCAAACCCGTCACACCAGCTGCTTCGATGTCCTGGCCCAAGCGTGGGCATGCCCTGGCGTTCCCACGTGACCTATGGGAGCCCTGGATCAGGCCATCGGTAAAGCCGTCGTTCAAAAACAAGTATTTTCTGGATAGCTACTGTTTTCCAGGCCCTGGGTATCGGAGATGGGATGGTGGGCCAACAGAGCTTTTAACCCTCTGGGCCCTGGGCTCCTATCCCCCAGGTGTCCTCACCTCATGAGCTGGTTGTACTTAGCCAGACGCTCCGAACGGCACGGGGCTCCAGTCTTGATCTGAAACATGCCCAAAGATAAGCAGCTCAGTGGCTGCCCCTTCATCTCCTAAAAGAAAACTTACATTCCTTTGACATTCTCCTGACACCCGCAAACACCCGGAAAGAGAGACCCACCCACCTGACCAGAACCCAATTACACAAAGATCTCCCTTGCACTCACCTGGCCTGTGCACAGCCCCACCACCAGGTCGGCGATGAATGTGTCCTCGGTCTCTCCTGAGCGATGACTCACCATGACCCCCCAGCCATTCTCCTGGGCCAGTTTGCACCTGCAGCCACACACCAGCACTGACCCCCAGCCCCTCACACCAGGCACTCCCTTCCCAGCCCCCACACTGGTCTATGTTGAGAAACACCCGGCACGAAGCTCCCTGGGAGGAGCAAAGGGCATGGGGTGAAGGGGGACAGAGCCAAAAGAGCCGGGAAAGTGATGCAGGTTCCCCGCTCTCTTCAGCATCTGTGCCAGGAGGAGGTTGGGAGCACTTGCCGGAGGTGTCCTGTAGAAACAGGCTGGGTCGGGGACAGCCAGGGGATACTCACGCTTGGATAGCTTCAGTGACCGAACCGATCTGGTTGACCTTGAGCAGCAGACAGTTGCAGGCCTTTTCCTCCACTGCCCGCTCAATACGCTTTGGGTTGGTCACTGTCAGGTCATCACCCACAATCTGGATCCCTACATTGGCTGTGAACTTCGACCAGGCAGCCCAATCATCCTGGTCAAAGGGGTCCTCAATGGAGACCACTAGAAGGAGAGCAGGAGGGGCTGCTGACCCTCCCTGGGGCTCTGCATCAGGCAGGAACACCTCCTGGGTGGACAGATCCCCTGGCTAACTAAGCCTGCCCATCCTTGCTTCCCTGCCTCCAAGATAAGCCTGCCCCAATTCTTATTTCAGTTCTTTCAGAAAACCTACCGGGGGCGCCTGGGTGGCTCAGTAGGTTGAGTGTCCAACTCTTGGTTTCGGCTCAGGTCATGATCTCGGGGTTGTGGGATCGAGTCCTGCGTCAAGCTCCATACTCAGCATGGAGTCTGCTTGGGATTCTTTCCCCCTCCCTCCCCATCTGTTCCCCGCTGCCCCGCCGCCCCCCCCCCCCCCGTGCTCTCTCCCTCTCAAATAAATAAAATCTTGAAAAGAAAGGGAAAAAAGAAAATCTTCCAAAAACCAAGGGTTCACAGTCTTTCTCAAAACTACTTTTGCATTTTCCCACTTTCACTACTGGGAGGCCTTTCCTCAGTGCTATTCTACATCCTATTTATATGCTATTCTGTATTTATATCTACTTTCTCTTGCTCTGTCTCAGGGAAATGGAAACCAGCTTCCTCCATGCAGGGGTCCCAGCCCTCGGTAAGCTTGGAGAGGGTAATTCGGCTCCTCGTCAGCCTTCCTATTCTACTCCCACAGCGCTTGCAGCTCCACTCAGCATCCACAACTTCATCAGTCAAAAACACTGATATGTACAAGTTCCCTGCTGGGCCCCATCACTCTCTCACCATCGCTGCTTCCTTCAAAAGCCCTCCCCGTGATCCCCGTAGCTTTGGAACACATGACTTTAATTAGGACAGAAGTAGATAAAACAGATTCACTATGGGTACCTGCACATTTAAACTACCTACAAAGCTTGTCTCTGCAGGAGGCTCCTCCCCCTGCCCCGCCACCTCCCCGCTCCCCCCTCTCATCCTGATTCTCAGGCTCTTCTTAGACCTCTACCTGGCACCTGAGTCAGCACCCCATATGGTCCAGAGTTGCCCCACACGCCCCTGCCTGCCCCTTGACCCTCGCACTGCCCTCCCTCCCACACCCCTTGTTCTCACCAGGATAGTCCCTGACAAAGTCCTGGTAGAGGGCCCCTAGCTGGTCCCCAGTGATGTATCGGGAAGGATCAGCAGGAGACTTGAAGTCCAAGTCATATTTGCCGTCACGATGAAACTCCGAGGCAGCGACATCCATGCCAATGACAATCTTTTCTGTGTAGCCAGCCTTGTCGATGGCTTCCTTCACCAGCTCCAAGGCTGGGGATGGAATACAGTGAGATTACCAGCAGAAAGGGTGGGCAAAGAGGAAGGAGAGTAAGAAAGAAATTCAGAGGCCAGGTGGAGGGCAGTTGCTGGGGAGAAGCCTGACTACAGTTGCTGGTGGGGTTTTCCCCAGGGCTGGGAAGAGCAGACCATCTTCTAAGAGGGCAGAGGAATGCAATTCTGTTCATAACAGGTTGTTCATAAATAGCTATCATTTATTGACGCCTAACTATGTCACCTAAGTACAATGATGCTAAGAGGTAGATACTGTTATTATTCCCATTTTACAGATAAGAAGGACAAGCACAGAGAAGTTAAGTAAGAAAGATCACCAGCCAGTAACTCTTCAAGTCAAGGTTCAAATAGAGGCAATTTGGCCCCAGAACCTGAACTCTCAGCCACTTCCTGTTATTGTTTTTTTTCTTTTTTCTTTTTTTAAGATTTTTTTTATTTGACAGAGAGAGTACAAGCAGAGGGAGAGAGAGAGAGAAGCAGGCTCCCTGTTCAGCAAGGAGCCCGATGTGGGACTCGATCCCAAGACCCTGGGATCACGACCTGGGCCGAAGGCAGCCGCTCAACCGACTGAGCCACCCAGGCGTCCCCCTGTTATTGTTTTTATTCATCATACAGCTCCTGCCAAGGCAGAGAAAAATTAGGGATCTTAGAGGCCTGAGAGGTTGGGGTGGAAATGGGATTGACTTAGAATAGAATCCCTAGAGTACGGTATATCTCATCAAACTGAGAGTCCTATCAAGTTCAAGTCCAGGATGGATCCTACAAGTCACGTAGACCACTTCCCCGCATTCCCAGGGGCTCCAGTAAGAACGTATAGTTGCTAACAAGGGGCACCTGGGTGGCTCAGTCAGTTAAATGTCTGCCTTCAGCTCAGGTCATGATCTTGGGGTCCTGGGATCGAGCCCCACATCCTCAGGCTCCCTGATCGGCGGGGGAGTCTGCCTCTCCCTTTTCCTCTGCCCCTCCCACTGCTCATGCATATACTCTCTCTCTCTCAAATAAATAAAATCTTAATATATATATAGTGCTAACAAATCTGGCTGGGCAGGTGAAGACTGTCCTCTTAGGCCTGCATGTGAATGTGGCAGGCCTTCTGGGATCCGGTCCCAGTACTGGTACCTCTTTGAGCTAGCTCAAGGGCCTCCCACCCATACTCCTCAGGACCTGGTGAAGTGTGTGGCCCTTCCTGATGTCCCAGGACAGAGCGAGACTTAAAGCAGGGAGTGAGGTTCCCGGTCTCACCCTCACTGTTCTCCAGGATGTTGGGGGCAAAGCCACCTTCATCTCCCACATTGGTGGCATCCTTGCCGTACTTGTCCTTGATGACCCCCTTGAGTGTGTGGTAGACCTCCGCCCCGAGTCGCATGGCATCCCGAAAGCTCTCAGCGCCCACTGGGAGGATCATAAATTCCTGCATGGCCAGCTTATTCCCAGCATGAGAGCCACCATTGATCACGTTGAAGGCCTGGGGGCCACAGGACAGAAAAGTCACAGAGCACTTCCCCCCTCCACCCCCAGGAGCGTTAACCCAAGAGCCCAAATCTGCCCCAGCTTCCCAGACTCAAAGTCTCCTGTCCCCATCCTTTCTCTGTAGCTGCCTCAATGCACTTTCCCCCCATCATTCCTCACAAGGTTTCATGCTCCCCACCCCCCACCCCTGGGAGAGGCCCAGGCAGGGCAGACAAGGCTCACCGGCACGGGCAGGATGAGGTCGGAGTTTCCGGCCAGCTGAGCAATGTGGCGATATAGAGGCAATTCCCTCTCGGCCGCCCCTGCCTTACACACGGCCAGGGACACACCCAGGATGGCATTGGCCCCAAACTTGGCTGGGAGATGATAGAGGAAGGCACTGAGCAAAAATTTCCCCCATCTGTTCGAGCCCTGGCCTCTACCTGTACTCCCCAAAAGGAGCCAGTAAAGGAGACCCCCTCCTCCCTCTCCACTCCTGCAACACCTCATCAGTGCTCTCCTGAAAATAGCAGGGACACGCATGCACACACGCACGACATGATGGGAAAGGGCAGAGAGCTCCACTTATTTCTAAACATCCTGAGACCATAGACTATCTCTCTTGCCAGATCACCCTCTTCGTGCTGCAAAGTTCTTCCTTCTGTCTATCTAATGTCACTCCCTCCCCTGCAGTTAAATTCATCTTCTCTTATTCTGGCTCTGGGAGGGGAACGGAAGATGGGCTAAGTCCCGACAGTCCTTCCTAAGGAAGCCCCCACGGCACTCCATGCTGTCTGCTCCACGCGTCCTCCCCCTCCCGCCTCCCCACGTTCTCCCAGACCCGGCTTACATTTGTTCTCAGTCCCATCGAGCTCCAGCATCAGGTTGTCCAGCTTCTCCTGCTCCACCACAGAGAGACCCTGTGGGCAGAGCCGCCATCACCACAGGCAGAGGCTGGGCCTCAGGGCAGAGGGCCCCACCCAATTCCCACACAGGGTCCCCTTTGGCCAGGGTTCCTGGGAGAGCAGCCGGTCTGGATGAGGGGACCTGAACCCCATGGGAGCAGGGGGCAGTAAAGGAGTCTTCCCTTGGTAACCATGATTCCCAAGAGGTGGACCTTTCTCCCTTTGCTCCCTCCTCCCCTAATCCAGGATTCCTTCCAGGACCCTGGTCCTGCCCACCAGCACCCCTGCCCACCCGCCCCCTCCCGGCCCCCAGCAAAGAGTGGGCCTCACTGAGCTGATGAGGGCAGGAGCGATGGTGGTGTTGATGTGGTCCACTGCCTTCAGGACACCTGGGGAGAGGCAGGGAGGCCAGACAGGGTGAGGGTGGAAGGCGCCAGAAGTGGGGGGCATGCAAGAAGGGGGCTGAGGACTGGTGTAAGGTATGAGTATAAAGCTGAGGGATGGGAGTGCCTGGAAAAGAGAAAGGGCCTCACCTTTGCCTAAGTAACGCTGTTTGTCCCCATCCCTCAGCTCCAGGGCCTCATAGATACCAGTGGAGGCTCCACTGGGCACCGCAGCCCGGAAAAGACCTGGAAGAGGAACATGAAATAAGGAGGGGCATAGAAGGATACTACAGGGCCAGGGATTCCTTCAGCCTTCCCGCTCCAAACTGCCTGCCACAACCAGTCCCATCCCCACAGTGCTCTCTAACACACACACACACACACACACACACACACACACACACACACACACACAGATGCCCAGGCAGTGGCCTCCTCATGCGCCCAGCTGAGGTCCCACATACACAACGAGGAACCCACACACATGAAGCTACGCAGGCAGCACACACATGCACACATGCACGCAGGTGCACACACAGACGTGCAGAGGCACGGTGTAGCCCATACACTAAAATAGGACACAGAGATTGGCCTATCCTGGCTCCCCTGGACAAAGAGGACCCAACCCCCATAATCCAGGCTTGGAAGCCTGGCCCAGCACCCCATCCCCACTGGGAATGAAGGCAGCTGCCCCTCCCGGGCCAGGGGAAAGCCCGCCCGAGGGCTGTGGGAAGCCCCCTGCCCTGCTCGCTACCTTTGGCAGTGTGGAGATCCACCTCCACCGTGGGATTCCCACGGGAGTCCAGAATCTCCCGGGCCCAGATCTTCTCTATCGACATGATGGCTGAGATCTTGGGTGGAAGGGAAGGAAGGAGAAAGATAAGAGGTTTAGAGAGGCGGAGCCTGATCAGTGGGAGGGGCTAGAGGCTGGGAGCGATGGGAAAGAGGTTACTGCAGTGGGTGGGGGTTGGGGAGGAGGTGGCTGCAGTCCTGGCTTTAGAAGGGATCCCCCCACCCCACGGGGAGAGAAGGTCAATGCAGTGAGGAAGGGGAGGTCACTGCAGTGGGGGGAAGGGGAGGATCAAAAGGTGAGAAGGGAGGACACCGCAGTGAGGAGGGAGGGGCACCGGCAGAGGTTGCGTTGCCCCCCCCCCTCAGTAGCTCCGGCAGCTGACTGGTGGGGTTTCCCCAGATCTCAGAGTATAATGGCTCAGACTTGCATTTCTCCTTGGAGCCAAGAAGAGGATGGGCTGTCTGGGCAGCTGGGGCCTCTCCTCCGGAGCCCCCATCCCACGCCAACTTAACACCCCAACCCCCACTCCAAGGTCCCAGTTCCTCTCCCAAACATACGTCCCTCCTCTTCCCAAGAGATGTACAGTAGAGAAGTCTGGGGCGAGGGTCCTGGGGAAGCCCTCAGTCCCTGGGGGTTGAGCGGGGAGGGAGAAGAGATCTGGGGGGAGAGGGAAGGCTGGGCCCATGCTCCCCGCCCCCCCCGCCCCCCCGCTTCTAGACAAATTCTCCCCTACTCCCATCCCTCCCCCGTGCAGCCGCGGGAGGTAATGTAAAAGGAGAGAGGCAATGTGGGGGAGGAGTGGGAAAGAAGGGAGTCTAGAAGTCTAGGGATGCTGAGGAATGGGAAGAGAAGACATTTCCCCAGATGCAAAGCCAGGGGACGTGCCAGGATAAAAATGCACCGCTGGGGGAGACCCCGAACTTAACATCGACAGAACCCGAGGCGAAGAGGGGCGTGGGGAGAGGGTCAGGCAAGGGTAGAGAAAGGCGCAGTTAGAGAGAAACAGGTGCGGAGAGACCTGGCGCCCCAATGAGGAGGGGGCGACAGCCAGAAACCGAGAGGAGCGGTCCCAGAAGGCCGGGGAGGGAGGGTGCCCGGGGGAGGTGCGGATGACGGAGCAGGTGCGCAGCGCCGGGGGGCGAGGGATGCGCGCAGGCCGGGGGAGAGGGCGGGGGGCGCGGCGGCTAGGGGAGGGGGCCGGAGGGGCGCAGGGGCCGGCCGGGGCTTCACCTCGGGGCTGCAGACTCAGCCTGTGGCGGCGGCGGCAGCGGCGGCGGCGGCGGAGCAGAGAGAGCGGGAGTGGTGGCGGCGGCGGCGGCGGCTGCGGCTCCCTGGCGGCGGGTGGGGGGCGGGGGGCGGGCGGGGGGAGGCGCCGATAGGGCCGGGCGGGCGCATGTGACCCGGAGCCCCCGATGAGTCAGGAGCCTCCGGCGGAGGAGCACGTAGGAGCGCGGGTGGGGGGCCGATGGGGGGGTAGGGGAGTGGGGGGGGCCGGGAGGAGAGCGATGGGGGAGGGGCTGGGGGCGACCCAGGACCTGAGGCCCGGCACCCACGCGCGCTCACACCCACGCCCCGCTCCCCTGGAAAGTAACAGGCACAGCCTCACACCAGTGAAGCCCATGACAGACTTGGACTCTCACAACCCCGATCAGACACAAGAGTATCAAAATGTCTCTTTATTTGAAAACCAAACTGTTCCTAACACACCCAGCCGCCTCCGCAGCTCTTCGGCAGCCAACTCTGCAAGCATCCTCTGGGCCCATCCGGGCCTGATTCCCCTACACCTGCCTGAGGGCGCCCCCCCACCAGCGCGCGCGCGGGCGCGCGCGCGCACACACACACACACACACACACAGGTTCCAGGCAGGGCTCAGGCCCACCCAGACGCTGCCCAGGTGCCCATCACAGAGCCTGGGCGGCAGGCAGGCTGTGATGAATTCCCAGGTCTGGGGCAAGAGAAGGCATGCTCTGACTCAGGATGAGGGATGTGAATGTGGCAGCACCACTACCTGGAAGTCTTCTCAGGTCTTGGGGCCAGTGTCTTTGATCTCCTGGAGGAAGAGGGCAGAAGTAAAGCCCCTGGACATTATTGCATTCCCCTTACTGCCTGTGCCCCCATCCAGAGTGCCCAGCTGCCACACTCCCCTGGGCTGGTCTCCCCAGTCTTCTCTTTCTGCCTTATCCTGCCCTCCTTTCTTCCCCCCACCCGTTTCCCGTTATTTTTAGCTTCAGATTTTTAGTGCAAGATCTTCCTCCCCTGCCTCCTCTTCTAGGCCCTGCTTCCATCCTCAACCACCTCCTCCACCCTCCACCCCCACCTCCCACACCACACCCCAGACCTGTCCTTTCCAGCTGATCTTCACCGCGTTTCGCCCTACGCCAGCATCTCTGCCTGCCACCCCAATTCTCCTCCTTAGTTTTCCTCTCCTAATGTATTCTCCTAAGCCTTTTCTCAGCTCCTCCCAGGCCCTTCTGGTCCTTTCTCCTCACCCTGAGACACCCCCTGACTCCTAAGCCCAGTGTCTCCAAGGGTTCTCCTCGCCGTATCCCTTCCTCAGCCACCTCCTCCTAGAGCAAATTCTCTTGCCCCATCTGACAGACCCTTGGCCTCCTCTTCCTGCTTCTCTGTCAGCTTCCTTACTGTCCCCAGAGGCTTGAAGAGCTACATGGATGGCAGCTCCAGTTCGGAGTCGTGCTCAGCCTCAGCCTCCTGCTCCTGGGTCTCCTTCAACCTCTGACGGATCTCATCAGCCTCGGCCCGCTCTTCCTCCTCGTAGAAATCTTTATCCAGGCGCTCGAGGTGTGCTATCTGCACCAGGGCCTCCTGGCGGTAGTCATTCTCATCTGTGCACGGGTTGTCCAACAGCACCAAGGCTCGCAGCTTGGGCAGGTCCCGAAGCTTGGCTAGCTCCCCAAGGTGGGTCACCATGTTGCCCCTGCCAGGTGTGGTCAGGAGGGATTCACACAGGGGAATAATGGGCTTTGGGGGCCCCACTTCCAGGAAGAAGGCCCCTGGGGGAATCTCCTGCTGGGTTCCAGTTTCACTGCCTCTGTGGATTGGCTTGCTCGGCACAGCCATATAGCCTAGCCGAGCCAGGGCGGTCCAACCCTACTCCAGTCCTGCCTCTGGCCTTCCAGGGCACCGTGAGGGCCACAGTCTGTTCTGTAACATGCTGGTCGTATTTCTCCTTTTGGAGCAACAAAGCTAGGTCACCAACCCTGTCGTGTAGCTGGAGAGAAGGGGGGAATCCCCCTTGCAGGGTCAAACTTCTTATGTGTCAGTCGTACCTAATCAAAGGTTAGAAAGGACCACCCAGGCCAGTGCAGAAGGAACTGGGATCTGAGCTCATGGAGGTGGGTGCTAGGTTGGTGCTCCCCCCAGGAAGGAGCCTAGAGCTAGGGATGGTCTGGGGCCTCCTGGCCTGAAGAACAAGCTTCATCTAATGTGCTTCATTGTATAGTATGTTTCTTTTCAGGTTCTTGCCTCATGCCTTTGAAATCAGGTTTAATTGTTTCCGCCTTAGCCTCAGTGGAGGTGACTAAACCTCACATAGAGTTTCTCACTGAGAGCACTCCATGCACTTTGTGCTGGACTGTCCTGTGCATTTCCCGGGGGTGGGGGGTGGGGGCTTAGCATCTTTGGCCCCAGAGGCATTTCCCAGTCATTGAGAAACTTCTCCCCACCCTTACTTCCAAACAACCCCAGTTAGTAGCCATTGAGGAGCGTCTATTATCTCTGTCTAGACCATTAATAGGAAAAGAGCACCACCACCCCAACCCTACCAGACTAACAAGGAAGAACTAATTAGCAAGAGATTTCTCCAGGAGCCATGGCAGGAATTGGGAGCTCCAAGGTGCAACCATCTCTCCCTACTTGGAGGTTGTCTTTCCATTACCAGCTTTGAGGATTTGGCCATGTTGACTAAGGAGGCAGTTACCTTACATCTTGCTTAAAGAAACAAGCATAAAATCCTCCATCAGACAAGGGTTGCTGAAAGAAAATATCCCCCCCTCCCCCATCAATCCCCACTGCCTTTCAATCTAGAGATTTTCTTTCAAATACTCTTCTCTCCTCAAATATGAGCACATCTTGCATTTTTAAATCAGTAAAGAAGCCATCCCTTACAGGTGGGGCTCAGGAGAAGAGAGGCAGGAAATGGGAAGGGAAATGGGGGTCCAGGAGATGGAGAAGGGCAGAGGAAATTTACATGGAATAGGACCAAGAAAAGAGAATTGGAGCCAGACTGTGAGTCCCTTGAGAACAGGGACCAACTCTGATTCCTCTAGATATTCCCAAAATACAGCACCAAGCCTGGCACCTAGCACATTCTCAATAACTGTGGATTGAGTGAATAAAGATTCAGGGGCCCCAGGCTATATACAGTAAGGAAAGGAGGGGTAAAGATCAGGATGGAGGATGAAGGGAGCGTCTAGGAACAGACTAGGATTGGGGGTTTGGGGCCAGGGAAGAACATGGGGTCAGAAGCTGCTCCTGGTCCAGGGTAGGGACAACGTAGGATGTGGAAGGGTGCATACCTCAGGTTGAGATACTGCAGCGATGTCATTTCCTTGGAGAAGCCACTCAGAGTTTCAATCTGATTGTCTCGAAGATGCAAGGTAGTGAGATTGCTTAGGTGCTCCAAGCCCTCCACCTTCTTCAGCATGTTCTGGGCCTAGCCCCCAGGGTACAGCACATAGATCAGGAGAAGGTAGCAGGGACAGGGAAGAGAAGTCAGAGATGCAGGAAACATAAGAGTGGAGACAGAGGGTGCAGGAGGAGAGTGGAGGTGGGGAGAGATGGGTGTAGACAGTAAAGAAGTCTAGGAGAAGCTACCAGTCCAGAGAAAGGTCAACAGGAACCCCCTGCTGCTCATCCTACCAAAGCCACCGCTGATTCAGGAGGAGATGATTCAACCCACCCGAGGCCCATAAGCCCCCACTGCTCCACTAAGGAGAAATGGCTTCAGCACCATCCTAGAATGAAGAAGCTCAAGAGCCAAAAAGACTTAACATTCAAGTGGCTTCCTTAGCCTGATATCTGTCCCTCATTTACAGCAAATTATGCTACTACCTGTATCAAAGCAAATTCTCTCTATTCCCATGTATTATGTATTATCAGTCCTGCGAGGTAGGAAGGGCTCAATAAATGATACTAAATGCTCATGATGATGATGAGGTTAGTAGCTGCCCTCTTCCCCGCACCAACCACCCTCTAACCCAGTGAGCTACCAGGAAGAGGTTCTTCAGCTTAGGAAGGTTGATTCCCAGGGTGCTGTCCAGCTGGTTCCCCCGAAGCTCCAGTGTGTGCAGGCTGATCAGCTTTTGGGGGTCCAGACCGGTCACCCTGCGGATGCGGTTCCCTGAGGAGCAGGAGGGTGGTAAGAGCTCAAAGGCTACTCCAAATGTTCAACAGTAGAGCCTGAATGTCGGGAGTCTCTGCATCATCCTCTCACTCTAATGCGAGGTGGCGATGAGGGACAGCTAGAGACTTGACACCTCTGGGGCCCTGGGAGTCCAAGGGCCAAATGGACATGTCCGTCCAAGCCTTTGAGGAGTGAATGAAGAGTGCCCAGCATCCAACATGCTTAACTCCTTCTCCTCCCTCAAATCTTTGCTCGGATGTCAGCTTCTCACCGATGCTTGTCCTAACCAACCTGTTTGAAGTTACCACCTGTGCCTCTACCTAGTCCCTTTATCCTAATCTGTTTTCCACAGCACAGATCTCCTCTTCACATCGTACATAAATTTACTTATTTATTATGTCTATTGGTAGCTGTCTGTCTCCCCTGAAGAGAATGTAAGCTACATGAGACTAGGGATTTTGTTTTGTTCAGTGCTACCTCTCCATCCAGCACATAGAAATGTCATAATGAATCATAGGGACTGTCTGAATGAATGACTGAATGAATGAATGAATGGAGATCTCTGTGTGGCACAGCCAAAGACCACACTGCCCATTCTGTTGCTCCAAGCTAAGAAGGAGAGAATCTTGTGTAACCTGACCTAAGGACCCACCTTTGAGATCCAGGCTGCCCAGACGAGGGTGAGAGATGCCCTCAGTGTCAGTGATCTGGTTATAGGCAAAACTGGCAATCTGCAGGTAGGGCAGTTCATTCAGGTGGGCGCTCCGCAGATTGTTGCCATCAGCCTTGAGCCAGAGCAGGTGGGTAAGGTAATTGAGTGGGGACAAGTCTGTCAGGTGGTTCTCAGAAACATCCACATAGCGCAGATGGATGTAGGACCGCAACAAGTAGATGTCTGTCAGATCCCTAGGAGATGGCAGAGGCCAGAGGTAGGGTTAAGAATCCAGCAAGTAGGGGCACCCGGGTGGCTCAGTCAGTTAAGCAGCTGCCTTCGGCTCGGGTCGTGATCCCAGGGTCCTGGGATCGAGCCCCAAGTTGGGCTCCCGGCTCAACAGAGAGCCTGCTTCTCCCTCTCCCTCTCCCTGCCTGCCTCTCTGCCTACTTGTGCTCTATCTCTATCTCTCTGTCAAATAAATTAAAAAAAAAAAGAAAAAAAAGAACCCAGCAAGGACTTTTAGAGATGCTAAAGCAGAGGGCAATGTGGAGATGGCTTGTAATGGAGAGAAGAATGGGTGACTGATGGGAGTGGTGAGGAAGGGGGAGAGAAGGTAGGTGGGTTCTTCACAGGGAGCAGGGACTTCCGTCTGCGGAAGCTGAGAACTGACCCTCTGAAGGACAAGAGGAGGAGTCCAGTAGGAATCCCCCTGACAGACCCTCATAGGCTCCAGTTCCCCAGGCCAGCTCTGATGCAGGGAATCACAGGCCTCCTGAAAAGTAAATTCTATCCTTCCCTCCACTGGCCAAGGTAAGAGAGATCCAAACTCCCCGCGGCAACAGCCAGGCATGAGGGTGAGAGAGGAGATTGGGCCCTACAACCTCAGCCCTCTTCTGGTCCCCCATAAGCGCACCTCTCTTTAACCTCCAGCTTGACATAAGCGTGAGCCAGTCCATTGCCCGTCTTACAGAGCAAAGAAAGTCCTTCCTTCATCATGTCCTCCGTGAGGGGGCTGGGCATCCACTGCAAGAATAAGTGGAGTCAGGCATCCCTTTCCTGCCCAACCCCCTCCCTTAGCCTTAGGACCCCACTGTTTCCATGCTCTCACTTCCTCTGAGTACTCTTCTCCCTCCTTCCTGTAGTTCTCCCACTCCTCTGTCTCCTTCTCATCATCTTCCTTTTCCAGATCATCCTGGTCTGGCTCGAAGTCTTCCAGCTCTTCATCTGACATCTTTCTTCCCTGCTGAAGGCTCTGGAGTGAGAGATCAAGCTCAGTGACCCTCCCAAAAAAGAATGTGTCCTCAGCTCTGGCCAACCCTCAGCTCCCTCGCCTCCATCGACAGGGTACCCTTCCCATCACCCCTGACCTCTTCCCAACCGCGCTTCCCTCCTTAGCCCTGTGAGCATCTCATTTTGACTCCCAGCCTCCACTTCTGACGTCCCACCAAGGACCTCTCTCCCTTCAGGATGCCTTCCCAGGCCTTTCCTGCCCTTCACAGGGGCTCCAACGGTCTTCTAGCAGCTCCGCCTCCCTGCAGGTCTTCCCACCTCCCCCTTCAGCCACGTTCTCCTACCAACCTCCTACACCCCTCCCCTCCCCGCCATCCCTAACCCCTGCTCCACTCATTTCTTCCCCCCTTCCCACCCTGTCTAGTCCCATTTCCCCGTCCCCTCTGGGGCACCAGACTGACGCCGTCTCCAACCCACCCACCCAATCCTTCGCAACGGGGCGCAGACCCTGGTTCTGCTCTACTAAAAATGAGGTTCCGGAGAGGGTCTTGGCCCCGACAGGGAAAGAGTGTTTTGGAAGAGGGGAAAGGCGCAAGGAGGCGTTGTGTACTGCTGTTATGGCAACGAGGGGGCGGGACACTTGGCTGCTTCTGCGGCGCAACCGCTGAGGGGGGCCGCGAGGAGACCGCGACAAACTGACGCGACAATCCGCCTCGGAGAAGCGGACCCCTAGTGTCCCCGTAAGGAGGCCAGCTTCCCAATCCTAGTAAGTAAGTGCGTTAACTGGCCACGGGCCAAAGGCAGTGGGTGGGGCTTGGAACTCCGCAGTGGGGAGGGGAGATGGGTGGGGCTAGGCGGAAGTCACTCAAAACGTTAAAGGGACCGCACATCCTTAAAGCCAAAGTATTGGGACTTCAGAAGAAACATGCTCTGAAGCTGAAGGAGGATGAGGAGCAAGAAATACCAAGGTATGCGGTCTGGTTTCTACCCCCACCCCAGCCTTGCACTTAGCTGACCTCTGGAAGGTGACTTGGTGGAGTGGAAGGAGCCCAGGCCAATGTATCTTAAGACCTGGGTTGGAGGCTTGGCAGATCTGCAGTGTACAAACAAATTACCTGAGACTCTACTTTCTCGTCTGTAAAATAGGCTTAGCTACACCAACTGACGGGTTTCGAGTATGTGTGTAATCTATGCTAATACACTGTAAATTGCTAAACCCAGTTTGGAACATTTCCCTTTTCCTCATATCCTGGACTGGTTTGATGCAAACCTTTTAGGGGCTAGTAAGGGAGAACATCCAACAAGTGCCCACTGAAAATACTCCTCATCCAACGTTGTTATGTAGACAAGAAGACCTGATTGAGCCATACCCAGGCACTCCTGACTTGCAGAAGGAGATGGAAAAGAAGTTAAGATTCAACAAGTATTTCCGGACAGTTTGTGCCAGATACTGTGTGAGATGCCTTCACAAGTGATTTAATGTTCACACCAGTCCTGTGGGGAGATAGATATTTGAAAGAAGAGGAAATTAAGGCTCAGGGCAGTTAATATTTATGACACAATTCCTGCCAGGAGAGAGATAGTACCAAATCTTATGGGATCTAGTATAAATAAAACAGGCAACAAGGTAAGATACCATGATTAATTATGAAATTGTGTGTTACAGACCTTATATAACATGCAAAGTGATCCGATGGAAGATGTGGCGGGCTGGAAATCAGGACCTGTTACCTCCTGCCCTGTCCAGCTTGGATAATACAGTTACTAGGCAAATCTGGTCGCTTGATGTCATGGAACTAGCAGGGGATGCAGAGGCAGAGACACCAGGTTCAAAACCCACTCTACCGTTTAATCGCAATGTGTTCCTCGGCAGGTTATATAATTTTCCTGAGGTTTAATTTTCACATTTGTGAAATGGGGATAAAGACATCCACTTCCATAAGAATTCTTAGAAGGTTAAAAGAGACAATGTGGGTAAATTGCCTCACACTTAGTTGACCTTCAGTCAGGATCTCCCTGCCCCTCCCCACCTCTTGCCTGTTTCCCCGGTTCTGGGATTGCCATGAGGAATAAGAAAGAAAATGTGAAGGTTAGAAATGGGAGGCCAATGAACCGGACTGTATTGTTGGAGTGGGAAAGGAAAATTCCAGGTGGTTTGATGTAACCAGAGGGAAAGGCTGTGATTTTCCTTGGCCCAGAAGAAAGAAGAAGACATATTAGGTGGGAAGAAAAGACATGACAGAAGGATTAGGGAAGTATCATTGAGCCTACTTTTATTAAGGGCTTACTCTGTGCCAGGCTGTAAGTGCTGGGCACTCAAGAACAGTAAAACAGTTCCTATCATCTGGAGCCTCACAATCCACTGACAGGGTTAAGTAAACGAGTAATTCAATATAATGAGACAGATGTTATACTAATGATACCCGACACTTGCCTAGCTTTTACTGAGTGTCAGGGGATAATTTTATAGTACACGTATCTAGATAATATCATATATTCAGGGCAGAGATTCCAGACAGAGGAAGCACCTTTGGTAAGGTCTGGACGAGAGAGAGCCCAATCAGTACCTGTGCAAAGAAAATAGATAGTTCGGGGCACCTGGGTGTCTCAGTGGGTTAAGCAGCTGACTATTGATTTCGACTCAGGTCATGATCTCAGGGTCGTGGGATCGAGCCCTGTTGGGCTCCGCACTCAGTGTGGAGTTTCCTTGTCCCTCTCCCTCTGCTCCTCCCCCTGCTCTCTTTCTCAAATAAATAAATACATAAATAAAATGTTAAAAAGAAAGAAAGTAGGTAGTTCTGCTGGATGGAACAGTAGGTGCACTTAGGGGAATGAGGTGGGAGCCGCAAACAGAGCTGATCACACTAAGGAATCTGGACTTTATCCTAAAAACTGGGAGGAACCACTAGAGGTTTTATTTTGTGTTTCGTTGACAAGGACTGAATCTACCCTGTGTAATGATAGCTAGATACTCCATGTCATCTCTGATGACATCCTTCCCTCTAGAATGGTCTAGATAGAATCTCCTGGAATTATAAAAGTAATATTTAATTAAACTTAAAATGCAATAGAGAAGTGTATATAGAGAAACATACAAGTTCATGAACTCAGCATCACTCTCATTTATGAGTAAAGATACAGATTTTTGGGAGTGTGGGTGGCCCAGTCAATTAAGCATCTGCCTTTGGCTCAGGTCATGATCCCAGGACCCTGGGATCAAGCCCCACATGGGGCTCCTTGCTCAGCGGGGAGCCTGCTTTTCCCTTTCCTGCTCCCCCTGCTTGTGCTCTGTCCCTCACCCTGTCAAATAAATAAAATAAAATAAATTTTAAAAAGATACAGATTTTTATTTTTATTTTTTATATTTTTTATTTTATTTTATTTTTTTAAAGATTTTATCCATTTATTTGACAGAAAGAGAGAGCACAAGCAGGGGGGAGTGGCAGGCGGAGGGACAGGGAAAAGCAGGAAGCCGGATGTGGGACTCCATCCCAGGATCCTGGGACCATGACCTGAGCTGAAGGCAGATGCTTAACGGACTGAGCCACCCAGGCGCCCCAAGGTATAGATTTTTTAAAAACAAAAATGCCGGGGTACTTCTTCCTCTCCCACTCCCCCCTGCCTGTGTTCCCTCTCTCGCAGTGTCTCTGTCAAATAAATAAATAAAAATCTTAAAAAAAACACACAAAAAACCAAAAATGCTATCAATCATACACACTGCTCACCAACTGGATTATTTTCATTTAATAATATGTCTTGGACATCTTTCATATCACTAAACATAGACCTACCTCTTTCTTTTTGATAGTTGTCTAGCCTTCCATTATATGGCTATATGGTAATTTTTAACTGTTCCCTATTGATGGATATTAACCTTAAAAAATTGTCAACAGTGGGGCACCTGGCTGGCTCAGTCAGTAAAGCATGAGACTCTTGATCTCAGGGTTGTGAGTTCGAGCCCCACATTGGGTGTAGAGTTTACTTTGAAAAAATCGTTTCAAATCGTTTTTCATGTTCCTGCAAAGTCATTAATTTTTTAATTGATTTTTAGGAGCTCTTTATTAAAGATTTGGAGATTAACTGTGGCAAAAACTGCTAGTTGCCTACCTGATATTCAGTCTACCCTTCTTCCTTACTAACGGAACTGTTTTTGAATAGTGTTATTTTATTTTTTTAAAAGATTTTATTTACCTCTGCTCCTGGCAACCACTAATTTACTCCCTGTCTCTATAGATTTGCCTATTTGGCATATTTTATATAAGCGAAATCATATAACGCATGATCCTTTATGACTACCTTCTTTCACCTTAGCATCATATTTTCTTTTTTTTAAGATTTTATTTATTTGACAGCGAGAGAGGGAACACAAGCAGAGGGGAGCGGGAGAGGGAGAAGCAGGCTTCCTGCTGAGCAGGGAGCCTGATGTGGGGCTCCATGTGGGGCTCGATCCCAGGACCCCGGGATCATGACCTGAGCTAACAACTGAGCCACCCAGGTGCCCCGCCTTAGCATCATATTTTCAAGGTTCATCTAATTGTAGCATCTATCAGTACTTCGTCCCTTTTGGTTGCTGAGCAATGTTCCATTGTATGGTTTATGCCACATTTTATTTTATTCATCAGTTGATGGATATTTGGGTTGTTTCCATTTTTTGGCTATTATGAGTAATGCTGCTGTGAACATTCATGTACAAATTTTTGTGTGGCCATATGTTTTCATTTCTCTTGCTTACATACCCAATTAATATCAATACAAAAATAATACTCTTAGTATCAAAATACTGAATTCTTGGGGCACCTGGGTGGCTCAGTTGTTAAGCATCTGCCTTTGGCTCAGGTCATGATCCCAGAGTCCTGGGATCGAGCCCCCCATCGTGCTCCCTGCTCCATGGGGAGTCTGCTTCTCCCTCTCCAACTCCCCCTGCTTGTGTTCCCTCTCTTGCTGTCTCTCTCTCTGTCAAATAAATAAATAAAATCTTTAAAAATATATATTGAATTCTGTGCTATAATGAAAGGATTTCAAAGGAGGACATGATCCTTTGCCACATGGAGATTTCATTCTAAAAAATTTACAGTATCAACATATTCATTCATTTAGTCAAGTATATATATTGAGCACTTGCTATGTATTAAGCCTTTTGCTAAGAGCCTAATAAAACAATATATGCAAATTCTCAGAAGGAAACTATTTTCATTTGAAAAATCTATTACAGGGGCACCTGGCTGTCTCAGTCAGTGGAACATGTGACTCTTGATCTTGGGGTTGTGAATTTGAGCCCCACATTGGGTGTAGAGATTACTTAAAAATAAAAAATCTTTAAAAACTGAAAAAATCGATTACAATTACAACCTGACCTCAGACATTTCAATTTAGTTTATTTGCAAATTTTTCCTTACAAGTGAAATTGTAAGGAGTGGAATTGCTGTATCATATGGTAACTTTATATTTAACCTTTTAAGGAACTGCCACACTGTTTTCCAAAGTGGTTGCACTATTTGACATTTCCACCAGCATTGTTTGAGAGTTCTAATTTCGCCACATCCTGGCTAACAGTTGTTATTATCTGTGTTCTTGATTATAGCCATCCCAGCGGATGTGACGTGTTATTTTGTTGTGGTTTTGATTTTCATTTCTCTGATGGCTAAAGATGTTGAGCATTTTTTATGTGTTTATTAGCCATTTGTGTATCCTCTTTGGAGAACTGTCTATTCCAGCTGTTGGAAGGGGCTACAGTTATCTGAATGCTTGACTGAGGCTGGAAACTTTGCCTCCAAGAAGGCTCACTGCTATGACTGCTAGCAGGATAGTTCCTTGCCATATGGGCTTTTCTATAGGGCCACCTGAGTGTCTTCACAATATGGCAGCTGGCTTCCCCGACAGCAAGCAATCCAAGAAAGATACCAAGAGCGAGCCACTGTGCCTTTTGGAACTTAGTCTCCAAAGTCATGTGCCCCTTCCACTTTATTCTATTCTTTAGGAGCTAGATGTTAAATCCGGCGCCCACACTCAGATGGAGGGGAACTAGGTTTCACCTTTTGAATGGAGAATTTGTGGGCATATTTTAAAACTTTACACAGTGTTTTGTCTTTTTTACATGCTGAAAATCTTTTCCTAATTGTCCTTATACTTGGTTTATAGTGCTGCCTTACAGAAATTTGATATTTGTATGTACTCTTTACTGTCCATCTCTTCAGTAAGGCTTCTGAATTGTGTGTCTGGTTTAGGAAACCCTTTCTCACCCCCTAGGTTATGAAAATATTCTCTTGTATATTCTTCTGGCATTTATATTTTTTAAAGATTTTTGTTTAATTATTTGAGAGAGCGAGCTAGCAAGAGAGAGCAGGAGCAGGGGGTGGGGAGAGGGAAAAACAGGGTCCCTGCTGAGCAGGGAGCCCAGTGCAGGGCGGTATTTACATTTTTTGAAGTCTTTAATTCATCTGTAATAATTTTTTTAATGTTTTATTTATTTATTCATGAGAGTCAGAGAGAGAGAGGGAGGCAGAGGCAGAGGGAGAAGCAGGCTCCCTGCCTAGCAGGGAGCCCGATGCGGGACTCGATCCCAGGACCCTGG